GATGTGCCACAGGGGCTGCTCTTCCCTGCCACACTCACTTCCCAAATCTCTCCTCAAACACAAAACAGGCAATCAATTTTTTTGGGACTGGAAACAAGGAAATCCAAAAAGTCTAGGGGAGGTTCTGGGACAACCTGGACAGTGGAGTGGTGTGACACAGACAGCATCAACCTGAGTGACTGCTGGTGGAATTTTGTGTCTGGACCTAAATTTGGATTATTTTATCAGTAAGAGAGAGAACATAAACACAAACAAACAACTCTTGTGGGCTTCATTGCCTCTTTCCTTCTCTCCACGCTTCGTGAGGTTAAACAAAGCCAAACAAGTGACAGATTCTGCACCATGGATGGAGCACCCTGGGTGTATGGACAGGCTGGAACAAGAAGCTGGAGAGATGACACAGGAGGGTGCTGGCACTGCTCAGGCTCCCAGGGAATGGGCACGGCCCCGAGGCTGCCAGAGCTGCAGGAGTGTTTGGACAGCACTGCCAGGGATGCCCAGGGGGGATTGTTGGGGGCTCTGGGCAGGGATAAGGTGCACTTGGATGATCCTTGTGCATCCCTTCTAACTGAGCACATTCTACAAGTCTAACTAAAAACAACTGCTATTACATTAACGATCCCAGAGTTTTGCTTACATCTATTAAACCAGGTCCTAACCCATTTAAAGCATCACGAACAACACATGTTCCATAAAACAGGAGCTGCAGTACCCCAAAAGCAGCTTCCTAATGCTCTTTCACTTTATTACCTATGTCATTGTGAATTCAGAGGCTGTCTCCTGTGAAAGAACAGTGGCATTTGCTGGAGCCCAGATTTCACAGCACATCTGCCGTGGTGCTGTACGAGCATGCAGAGGAGATGAAGAAGATGCAGCAGGGTATAGCAAGTGGAAGTTCTACCCAACTAATCAAGTCCACAGGGACAGCATGCAGTGTCACAAGACATATCACTCTACACTTGAATGAGGTTGTCAGCCACAGGGAGGCTGCTAGCTGCTGACAGCACCGTGCAGGATGGGGAGGCTTCTAAAAGAGACACAGAAGCTTTGCAAAGTATGTACCTGCTTCTGTGAGTGAAGGGGAAAAAAAAGGAATGAAGTACAAAAGGGTATTTGCAAATCTGTCACTCGGTATTCTATTGCTGGGAATAAACCCAAACTCATTTGACGTGTGTTGCATGAACACAAAAAAGGTTACCTTGCAGGTTTCTCAAAATGCACACATACATTTTCACATGTGCAGATCAAAATAATATGGGACTTACTTGAATAAGAATGATATAAAGCTATTAGAGAATGTCCAAAGGAGGGACACAGAGCATGAAGCTGTGCCAGGGGATGGCTATGCTGAAAATCAGAGAAAGGTTCTGCTTCCCCCAGAGGTGCTGGCATTGCCCAGGCTCCCCAGGGAATGGGCACAGCCCCGAGGCTGCCAGGGATGCACAGGAGGGATTGCTGGGCATCTGGGACAGGAGCTGGACTGGATGATCCTGATGGATCCTTTCCAATACAGGATATTCTATTCCATGATTCTATGAAAATGCCATGTGGCAAAATAAATGCCATCTGAATATAACCCTAAAAAAGTAAGTTAAAACCTAGAATATTTGTGGCTTTTAATAGGAAATCTCATAAATTCAGAAAGCACTTCTTTGCAGATGTGTGAACTTGGGTAGAGTTGCTCACTTTGAGCTTGATCCTACCAAACATAATAACAAAAATTGGCATCAAAAGTGCATATTGCTCAAATTCATCCTAAGAGGTTCAAGAATGAAAGCAAAATATTTGCTCCAGTCCTTTACTCGAGCCATTGAAGAAAGACACATCATTTTAAAAGGTGTTCACATTAATTCCTCTTATTAGTCTCACCCCAGTTTATTTCATTTATTAGAGCAAATACACTGGGAATGCATTTATTACTCTATATCCATGCAGAAAAGCAATGAAGAAGCACCTCTGAAGTGTGTGCAGTTGCTTTGCACCACTTAAAACTCCAGAGAAGAGTCTTTAGGTCTGGAAGCTGTTTCCCCTGGAAAAACTGAGCAGTTTAATAAAAGATACTACAGACCTCTGCAATCCTGTCTTGCTACATTTCCCTGTACTTCACAAACTTTGGTATGAGACCCTTTTAACCAACAGGAGGAACTCGAAGACTCTGCATTCAGGCTTTTATTTGCAAAGTGATTTGTACCCTATAAAATTAATCTGTTTTCAGTTTTATTTTGCTGATAAATTCCATCAATTCCATTAGAACCAAATGTTTCTACTCAGTGCCTTTCCACCCACTAACACAAAAAACATTATTTAAGTATCAGTTCTATTCTCAGCAGTTCTTAAGAGCTGAATTTTCAGTGGGTTTTAAAGGTCCATTTGAAAACATAAAACAAATTTTGCTTGTGTGTGTATTGTTTCTGTTTGTGCAAAACTTATTTTTGTATTTATTCTCCAAAGCACCTAATTAAATGTTTGTACAAAACACACATGACTATGAAAAGCACCAGGTACACTCTACAACAGCGTAGAGGCAAAAATTGCAACAAAGATCTACATTATTAGATTTGCTTCTAGAATGTTTTCTTTGAAGTGATTAACCACCAAATAAAAGATTTGTTTGAAGATTGTACTAGAACTTTCAACACAGAGAAACTTTCACAGAGCAAGCAATACTGGCTCTGTAACAGGATAAAAGTACATTTACATCCAGAAAATGCAGCAAAAATGGGGCAGACATTTAATATCACTCTCTCCACAACGTTAAGCCTCTCTGCACTCTCTATATCCTGTTTTACTGAGTGTTCTTCATTCAAAGTCTGGCAAAATAGGAAAAAAGAAAATCGAGGTAAATCATAGGGCAGCAAAAATAGTCAATAAAGTCCCAGAATGAAGGAGATACCCCAGGTGTGCAAACCCTTTGGCAAGGGAAAATCTCAGATGATGGAGGAAGAGTGTAAGTGGAAAAGCCAGGAGGAGGAACCAGGTATGTGCAAATCCACTGCGAGTTCTGAAAAGGAGGTTATTTTTAAAATGCACAGTGGATAAGAAACCAATGAGGGTGACAGAGGACAAACCACAGCCCAACTTCACGGAAAAAGAAAGCATTTTTCTTGTGACTTTCTGTACACCCTTAAGTTTTGGGAAGGATTGCCAAGAAGTATAATTGAGGGAGTCTCTGCTTTCCAGTCAGGAAGGATTAAAAGCAGCTCTGAAAGCTGTGGAGTACCTCTGCTCCCACTGGCTGCACACCAGCCTGAGAGCACTCTCAGTACTCACAAGCCTTGGGAAAGAAAAATAAGTCAGAAATATGGATGATTTTTCTGGAGAGGGAGAAAAAATAGAGAGAATTCCAAAAATATTCTATGTTGTTCTAATGAATAAACCAAAAATTCTTCCCTATGGGAACAAATTCTGCTTCTTGCTCATTTCCGTCTATAACGTGCAGTGTTTTAATTATGCAGCAGTCTCAACAAATAGATTATCACAGCATTTTAGCTAATTCTATTTAAAATGCCAGAAGAAAATGGGATAATGTCTTCCTTGGTTTGGCTTAGTTTAACCTACCCACTTCTATTCACCAATGACTCAAACGATTCAGGATATTATAACCACCAAAAAAAACCCTTAAAATAGTAGAAATATTTAGACCTGGATATACCCTGAAAATCAAAATAACACGAAGTACAAACCCAGGATTCTTCCCAGCTACTCAAAATAATTTTAAAAGCTCAACTAAAAAAATCCAGAAAGAATGGGTTGAATAAAACATTTTAAGATGTGAAATATGAACATTGCTGTCTCTGTGAAACTGAAATACGTTACTAACCCCAGAGAAACAAATGAGAACAGATACCAAAATCCTGATATAAATGTAAATTGACACAGCACCAAAAGTCCCTGGATAGAAAGCTCATTACACCTTCTGACCTTGAGTCTCACCTGGAAAGTGGCTGCACTAGGGAAGATTTGGAAATGCACTTGATCTCTGTTCTCTTCAATAACTGAATAGAGCTGTTGACAGTCCCTATATGATATATTATACTATATGCTATTCATTTATCCATGGAAATTCCAAGATTACCATGAAATTAACTCTTATCCATAGTTTGTCTAGAATTTTTTTTTTTTACTCAACCTCAGTAGCCAGCTAGTAAGACTATAATGCACTTTGTTGTTCAGTGGGAATTGAACTTTAGTGATAAACAATTAAGGTATTTATACCTGCTCATTGCCAAACATGCATTTATGAACAGATCATTCTTTTCTAAGAATAATTCTGATGGCAATTCAACCCTGATGGATACAGATGGCTCATACAAGTGCAAGGCTGATTCACTGACTGGAGGTAACACCCTGAGCTACAGAACAAACTAATGCATGGCAACAAGCAAAGCTTCAGGGCAGCAGAAAAGCTGTGACACTGAAAAAGATTATAATTTGCCCTGTGTTATCTTCCTAACTTTGACATTAAATTACAAAATCTGCAGCAATAATGTTATTCCATATGTGTGCATAGACCTCCATATAAACTAGGACCTTTGTTGTACAGTCCCCACTTTCCTTTTTGGTTCTTGTTTTTTAAAAATCCTCAGAGCATAAACACTTTGATTCATCAGACTGTATGACCTATACAATGACCTATAGGTGTAACAACCTTTAGGAATGCACAAGACCATATTGCAAAGAGCTGCTTTGGTAAAATTCAGCTGACAGAGGTGAGGAGTGTTGACTAATGATACAAAAGAAAGGATGTGATCACGCTTGTGGGGCTTTTTGACAAATGACATATGCATATTTTGGTTGGAAATAACAAGTTAGCCAACTAGGAAATCATGTCCTTACAGTCTGGTATATTTAAAGCACAAATCTATGGATATTAAGAGAATTATTTTGGAATCACAAAGCACCTCAGTCTGAAATTCCTTAGAAGAGTCTGAATGACTGAGGACCTTCTCATGTCACACATTTATACATTCAGAGAAAAAAAATCCCAAATCTTGTCTTACCCGGCCAACTAGGATTGGTTCAGGTCCAGAAAATTCTTCCAATACAAACATTTGATTCCAAACCCAGCCTCTCTTGGAACGGTGCAAAATTCTTTGTTCTTCATTTAGCCTTTTTAGTCCTGTACTGGATCCACTTGGTAGTACTTGAGATTGATTCATTGGAGCCATATAAATGGAAGGAAGGACAGTAATCCATAATATTATTAATGGAGTCCACGTATCCATAAGCATCTCCGTTAGTCTTTCTGGCATTGTACCACAACTAGGCAAATCACCACAGAAATGAAATTATTATTTTGCTTTCCTCCAGACTGTAGCAATCCAATTCATCACGCAGTACAGAACATTTACTTACAGCTCCTCCATGTGTTTACAGCACAGTCAATGTAAAAATAGCTCAGATGAGAAAAACATGATCCATTGAGTTTTCCAGTCATTAAAGATTCCTGGTGGGGGAAAGAAAAAAAGAAAGTTCAAATCAGTGACTAAAGAGCTTAGGAAAGCATTCTGAAACATCTTATTTACTTTTACATTATAAATCAGCCATGTTAGGGTTTAAATTTGTAGTTCATAATATTATTGCACAGTCAAATTGATTCTGTGTGTTCTTTCATTGCCTGAAACACCAAGAGAAGACCCAGATAAATTATTACATGCACTTAGGAAAATAGTCAGGCCTAAGAATTGGATGGGGTTTGCAGTAACCTGGTCTAGTGGCAGGTGTCCCTGCCAGTGGCATGGAGATGGAAATGGAGGATCTTGAAGGTCCCTCCCAACCCAAACTGTTCTGGGACCTTGCAGTTCATCTGAGAGTCTGAAGAAGCTGCCAACCTTCTCTGCACTGTTAATGTGGTCAACTACAAACACATATTCTGTCATATAAGCAAATCAAAATAAAGTTCTTGCATCCTTATGCTTCTTTCCTCCACAAAAAAAAAAAAAAAAAAAAAAAAAACCAAACCAACAACAACAACAACAAAAACAAAAAACTAACTCCTGAGTGTACAAGGCTCCAGCAGCCCACTGTCTGTTCAGCCATCACGTCTCTGCAGCAGCACCACTGCCCAGCAGAAACAGCACTGCTAAATCCTCTGTGAAATCCATGATTCCCAGACCAGACCACTACCAGGACCTAAAGAAACCCATTTATGCACATCTGCACTACAGGTGTCAGTGTCTCTCCTCTCTCAGAGAAAGCACACAGTCGTGTTTCATTTCAAAGACATTTTCCTAGATGGACACTTGGGAGCATTTTGTCTTTCTTTCCTTGCCCACCCTTTGATGTACTAAAAGGTCACACCACGTTTCATCTCAGAGTAAATATTCCTTGAAATGGAAAGGCAAGTTAACATAGCAGGGCTGATGCCAGAGGGATGGGCAAACCCAGAAATGCAGCCACAGATCATATGGAAAACTAGATGGGATGCAGCTCAGATAAATGGGCTGCATTACAGGGTTATGGAATTACCTGAAAAGAGTCTTGATACATTTTCTTTGAATCACATCCAAACAATCTCAGGAGAAACCATTATATACAAGAGAGTAGGAACAGCTATTCTTAAGCTTACACTGTGTTTTAGGCTGGCTTTCTTCTACTTTAAGATTAATCACTAGTGTTGCATGTTTATGAAAATCCTGAGAGCTGAGTTGTTTGTTAGGTGGGTTTGGTTTTTTTTTGGTTGTTTTTTTTTTTGGAGGGGGGGGAGTAGCGGTGGTTTGTTGTTCAGCAGTTCTTTTAAAAGCAAACAATGTAGAAAGTATTTTTTTTAAACTTCAGTAATTGCCAAAGCAACTGTGAAATCTGTTGCATGAAAACCTGAAACTGTGAGAAATTTGTCTTGTTAGAAGGGGAGAGGAGCTGCTACCAAAGTGAAACTCAATCCCTCAAGCAGCATGGAAGAATGGTGAGCTAATAGTGCAGTGCTTTGACAATGCCTCCAGAATGAGGGGAATATCCATTACAGGAGAACCTGGAGCTCCATAGGCCTCACTGCCAACTGGGGTGGAAATAACAGAATCAGAGAATACAGCAAGCTCTCGTGAGGAAGTTTTGGGGAAAATGTGAGAGAAGTGAGATGCTTTAAATGTCTTGACATTCTCTCAATCCCAGAAAAGGAAGAGGAGCACACAGTCTAATGATGGAATGCATCAGTCACCCTCTGAAAAGCCTCTTCAGTCCAGGGAATTAAATGGATTTTGCTGCTGCTGCTTTCTGGCACATGTTAAACAGAGATTTCCAGGGAAATGTTTGTAGGTAGAAGGTACTGAAAGAGAGAAACAGCCAAATTTCAGTCAAAGTGATTGGTTTTGCTCTAATGGGATCCTCTTTATATCTCACTGTATGAGTGGGTGCCTGTGCCTGCCAGGACACAGATTTCTCTGATTTCTTCAATGAAGCAAGAATCAAAACACAGGAGAAATAGAACCACTGTAAAATTAAGCAAGAGACATAATCTTCAACCAACACCCAGGATTAAATTCAAAATGGGGTGGCAGAAATCTGAAAACACAACTTAAGGGTCTTTTTTAGGGGTTGAACAGAACAAGATGTAAGTACTCTTGTCTTTTTAGAGTGACTGTTTCTGGGTGAAAAACCACTTTGTATATAAACCCAAAAAACCCCTTAGAGAAAAGGACCCAAGTGGGCATGACTGACTTCCTTACACTTCCAGCACAAGTTGATATAATTCTTCTTACCAACAGGACCAAATAATAATAAAGCACTTCCTTTCATATTCAAGAAGCTTTTTGAAAACAATTCCTAATTAATCTCCACAGCCTTCTAAAAGAAATGAAATAAATGTGATAAAACAATATGATGCTCCCAGAACCATTTTTGGTTGAAGAAAGAAGAGGATATTTGGTTTTCACACTGCCACTCTCAATCCTTAGAAAGCATTAAGTTCATTTCAGTGCATCCCTCCTCAGTTCCTCCCCCAGACTTCCTGCTTGTTACTCTTCATTTACTCCAATCAAATTGAGGTCCTATCCACTCACACTAATACAGAAGATTCACTGTGACTGGGCTGTCCTCATGGTAGCTGTGTGTTCAGCAATACCTTAAGGCAAAGGAATCCAAAGCACATCAGAAATATCAGCAGTACCATGAAACCCCCTCAGTGGAACAGCCCCGTGAGGAGCAGAGTTACACAAGCTCAGAGCACTGGCAGCAGGGTTGGGCAGTGCAGGAAAAAGGGAAAAAACCCAATGGGACTTTGGCACATCCCAGTCCTGCGGAAGGATGTGACCAGTGTGGAACCATGGAGCTGGATTGTCAGAACTCAAAATGTCCCTCAGACGTTTTTGGAGGTTCCAGGCCCAGGTCAGAAGCATTTGAGACCCTGGCAGGCAGCTGGAAACAGCTGTGATTTTGGGTTTGAACCATGGAATGATTTACCAACCTTGCAGGGAGAACAAGAAGTCACAAAAGTTTAGATATTAGAGTAGAAATGAAGTAAAGGGGAGAATTTTTGAGTGCTGTACAGGGGGATTTGGGTTTTGTACATGGAAATCATTAGTTTTAAAATAGAAAGATTTAGGCTTGTCCTGTTCTCCCTGTTTCTTCTTCCTTACCTCCATGTTCTTACTAATGTTAGAACTCACAAATTAGTTTGGAGTAGAAAAGCACCATTTAATATAGGTAATAGGCATTAGGAGAAAACTATAAAAATTTAACACATAATATACCATATAAAAGATAACACCAACCCTGGGCGGGGGGAAAAAAGAAGAAAACAAGAGTCAAAAAAAATGTCAAAGTGTGTGTGTGCCTTTGCCTGAGCTGCTGAACAAACTGCAGCATCTTAAGAAAAAAATCTTTTAAATAACTTGCAATAAACTACCTTAAGACCAAACAACAAAAGACTACTGAGCCTTTCTTTAAAAGCACAAGTTAAAAAAAGAAATTTTTCCACCACACAGAGCCACCCCCAACCTAGAGTAAGCTCCAACACTGGATAAAGTTTGCCACAGCTCAAGCTGGACTACAGGAGTCTTGTAAGAGTTATTTGAGAAACAGACTCTCATTCAGGCTCTATCAGTGACTCAGGGCATACACTTTATGTGATGCATGGAGGTGGGATTGCCCCCAGATTTCTTTACCAAACTTGGAAATTACTTTTCTGCCCCATTCCTGAGAGCAGAACACCATGTATACAGCTGAGAGCTGATGGAAGGCATTTTAAATATGTGGCCCAACAATTTACACATTGGCTAATAGGAAAATTGAGAAATGTCTTGCACTCAAATTGCAATCCTCTGGGTTAGATGTGTAGGAGGGGATGACAGGACTCTTGAAGCAGGCTAAGATAACATTAAAAGCCATATGTAAAGATAGACTTGGAAATCAAGGAAGACCAGGTGAGGAACAGTAGCAGTTTCCCTTCTTACATTATGCCACAGTCTAAAGCAGTGGTGAGAATGGAATGGCAGCAAAATTATTCCAGTGAAGCCAGAATGATTTTTTTTCTAAGCAACAATAAGAAAAGAAGCATGTGGCCCTTCAAGAGTGTATTTCACAGAATCATGGAAACACAGAATGGTTTGGGTTGGGAGGGACCTTAAATCCCATCCAGTGCCACCCCTGCCATGGCAGGGACCCCTTCCCCTGTCCCAGGCTGCTCCAGCCCCAGTGTCCAGCCTGGCCTTGGGCACTGCCAGGGATCCAGGGGCAGCCACAGCTGCTCTGGGCACCTGGGCCAGGGCTGCCCACCCTGCCAGGGAACAATTCCTCATTCCCAACATCCCATCCAGCCCTGCCCTGGGGCACTGGGAGCCATTCCCTGTGTCCTGTCCCTCCAGCCCTTGGCAATTGTCTCTCTCCATCTTTCCTGCAGCTCCTCCAGGCCCTGCAGGGCACCCTGAGCTCAGCCCAAAGCTCCTCCTGTGCAGGTGAGCAATGCCAGCTGTGCCAGCCTTTCCTCCCAGCAGAGCTGCTCCATCCCCTGCTCCTCCTGTGCCCCTCTGGGCTCTCTCAGCAGCTCCAGGTCCCTCCTGTGCTGGCCCAGGGCTGGAGGCAGTGCTCCACCTTCAACAAGATTTTGCTTGTGTTGATAAAAGTATAATTTTTGCTTTTAATCTCCACATATTCAGATGGCCTTGGGCTGTTGCCTTAAACAAAACTTCAGTGATCTTCTGAGTGGTTTCCCTGTACACTGTAAGGTATATATAACTCCAGATCACCTCTAATCCAGCAAAGCTGTTTACAAAACAGCTTTAGTTCTCTATTCATGCCTGAGAGGAGAAAGTGATATTTAAAATATAAAGAATGTCTTTAATGTAGCAAATAGATGAAAGAAAATGCTCCACTATGTCACGGAGTAGAGATTCAAACAACTGCCTTATGTTTTCTAAAACTTAAAATGTATTCATAAATTTTGTTCTCTGTGCACACTGTATAGAGAAATACAGATAAAGCTGAGTAGTTTGTTTTGCACTCTGTGTGTTG